GGGAGCTCGGGTTTTAGGGAGCTGGGACCTTTAACAGGGAGTTCGCTTTTAACAAAGAGCTCGGACTAAACACAGCGAGCTGGAGTTGGGGTTCGGTAGTGAGTTTTGACTTGCTTCCGATGTTCGCTTTGGGTGCTCTACTGTCCCGAGCTGCTTGCCTTTGCCACGCGTCGGGCGAATGCGAGGTCGGGCCAAATTTCCCTTCATCACTCCCCAAAAATGAAGGACCTTAATTTCTTTCATAGAATGGGAGGTACTATCTACTTAAATTCTTACAAACAAACACGGCAAAGTCGAAGCAAAAGAATAAAAAATTATAGTAAAGCCACATTGTACTCCTAGTGCAAATAAAATTTATGTATTCGGCCTTCCGAGAGGTTTTACTTGCACTAGAGAATCCAGTTAAATTGCACGTACGTACAGGAGGTGTTTGGCAGAATGGGATGGTCATCTAGTCGTGAGGCCAAGGGGCATGATTACTAGAATAAGGTTGGGAGAAGAAATAAATCAATAACGGGCCACTATTAGTATTATGATCATTCATTCATTGTCTTCCCATCTCATCTCGGGAAGGTATCGTGTGTCGTCCAGGGACCAGGTCCAGTCCTCCTGTTTTATGGCTAGCTAGCTAGCACTAGCAGTGAATGTCTTCTTGGATGCTGCTAGCTCTTAACTCAACATTTAATTTTGTAATCACTGAGCTGAGCCGGGTCCTAATGTCCTAAACTATACTGATCAAATGGTTCTAAATCTTACTGGATGCCACTGGGGCGACAATTTCAGATGCTCACGGCGCAAGGGACAGACGTATTTACGCAGCAATAATATAAATAATTCAATGGGCCACCATTCACCAACCACCGCAGCTTGAGTTGAGGCTTCCCCCTATTAATTATTTGTTATGATTCTGCTCTATTAATTTAAAGCATCTTCCTTTCACTTCATCAGTTCAGTCTACCGACCCTCCCCTTCTCCTTATCTCACGTGAACTCTTCACTACTGAAGAGTGAAGATGCAGCTGCACACAATTCAAGGTTTGTTGTGACACCACCACCTACCACCTAGCTAATTTCTGTGGCATCTCATATATATATATATATATATATGCTAAGCTAAGCCATGCTAACCCGGTCGTCTTCGATTGGTTTGTCGATGTCATTTCGATTTTCGACATGCATGCCTCTGCAATCTGCATGGCTCGCCCGCTCCGTCGCTTTGCCAACGTCAATAGATTGTCACAGGGGTTAGTCAATAAGGCCTTAAAAAGGCATTTTTGTATTGCATTATGATAAACACAAACACATTTTAGTGTCCCCGTGCTTAATCTTTACATGTTCTTATTTCTCCTCAAAGAATTTTAAAGAAATATCAAAATGGTGGGTGAAAAATAGTACTATATTATAATTATAATAGTACCATTGGCATTCCCAATACAATATATATATATATATATATATATATAACCCATCGATGACATATACAATGACGCGATAAAAGGTGCTGCTTATGGAAGATGCTTGATGGCGCACGGTGAAGGACTCATTTGTGACAAGGTGGCACTAGGAGCGGCTTGCCAACCTACTGCCTTTTGATAAGTTCTGGCTCCTTTACACCTCATCCTAAACAATTTCCCAACAGCGTTAGTGAAATTTTGAAAAATTCCACCTCTTGTTCTGTTTCTCTACAGATTCCCATCTTGTTCTGTTTCTCTACTGCTCTACAGATTCCCAGCTTCAGTACTAGACTACTAGCTAGCTTCTGATCCACTTGTCGTACGTTATTGCTCAAGTAGCAGCTGGTGTGTACAGAGTACTACAATATTATCACCACAAATTCCTCTCGGTGGCCGGCCATCCCAGCCGACCCATTTTTTATTTCCGAGGAGATATCTCCCGTCAAGTTAGTATAAGTATAATCGAGAGAGAGAGAGCGTTCCTGTATGAATGCAAGTCCCAAAAGATTGAATTTGTAATGAACAAACAATCTATTTGTACTGATAACTCACGCAATCACAAACACCATGATCATATACATCAAAAACCATTCACAGAAAGGCCAAGCGCGCAAGACGCCAAGACCCTCCTCTTATTACATATATATATATATATATATATATATATACTATTATATGTGGGACGTCTATGATCTAAGTAACTTCTACTGAATGCGTACGCTATATACTCCCATCATGATTCATGATCATAATTATAACAATAGCAACAGTGGTATACAACAGATTACTAAGCGGGTTCCCAAATCCCAATGAAGTTGCTGTCTCACTCTAACTCTCAAAAATCCAAAACAGAAAAAGAGAGAGAGAGAGAGATATTCAAGGGCATTTGGGTTTGCCCTTGTTGTTCTTCTTGTCTCTGTAGCAAGGGCATTCATGCTTGTTTCCGTAAGTCCCCGATGGAACGCATTTGCAATCCTGGCAGCAGATCATGCAGTACTTCATGCACCTGTCCTGATACCCTGCTTTTGAGCACCTCCCGTTGCACTTGGGTGTACACAAACCTGAAACCATCCCACAATTAATCGATCAAATCAGCAAATTATACGATATGAAAGTTGAAATTAACCATACGTACAGACACAGAAGAAGGTTATACTACCCTATCTATCTATCTATCTATATGAGTAGCACAACTGAGCTCTTACCTGTATAATCAGGCAAGGAAGGACCTTGAGCGGTTGCCTCAAGAAGATAAGAGCTCAGAATGAGAGAAACAAGTAGAAAAACTGCAAGGACGAGCTTCATTTTCTTAATTCCTTTTTTCTTTTGGAGGTGGGTGCACCACTACTAAAGAGGGTAAGAGAAGAAAAGAAAAAGAAGATTAACAGAGATATGGAGGAGTGGAGTGAGTAGTGAGGAATAATGGGTGGCTGAGTGGTGAGAGCCTAGCCTGAGCGGGTATTTATAGGACAAATTAAGGAAGAAAAGGTGGGAACTGGGAGTATGGGACCTTGGGGAGTGAGTGGGTACGAATAATACCAATAAGGCAATAAATAAAAAGATGATGCACAGCATTATACAGTCTGTCAGGTCTTTTTGGTTGGGCTGGGGAATCACAATTACGCGGTTTATGCTGGAGTGAAGGTTGGTCGCAGCTTCCCACTAAATAAATATGCTTTTGCATAAACCAGAAGAAACTGGTATCGTCTATCGTGTGTGTGGATTCACCAAGTACAAGCAATTTCTGTTCATACTTGAGAGTTGAGAGAGAGAATCCCAGCCCCAAGTCACCAACCCCATTCCTTGATCTGGATTACTTTCCTTCCGACTCATGTGTTTTTTTTTTTTAATTAAAAAGTTAATTATACAGAAATGAACAAGTAGTGCATTAAGCATTATACTTTATACATACCATACGTGGACGTGTTGGACTCATTCTAGTTCAGAGTCTGATCAAAGATTAGAAAGTAGAAAGCGATTCGTCGTCATTTGAGAATGCTCAGCAGTCAACAAGCGTGCGGTATCACGTGATCTGTCGGGTCTAGAAGTGTCATTGCACAGACTACTTCTACACCAAATATGTTCTCCCTTACATTCATTCTCAGTTCTCACATGGCACGCACAAGCTTAGAGAGTATAGCTATAGGCGCTACAGCAGTCTATCTCTCTCTTTGTAAGGTTGACTTCCATGTGTCGGCTATCCAATCCAAAGGCTAACTTGGACCAAATGAATGACAACCGTTGAGATAGGAAGTGAGCTTGACGACAAACTTTTGAAAATGTTCAAAAAACTGTAGACGATTATTAGTCCGAGTGCGAATGTTAGTTGATTCTTTACCGTAGAGGAAAAAGTGGTGGAGATAGCACATAGCCACGTACAACAACAGTAGAATTTAAAATAAAATGAATCAGAGATTTTGCTGTTTGGAAAGATGGTGACAAAATTGAAGGGACAAAAGTGTGGTTATGGCCTATGGGGTCTGGGGAGGCAGAAATAGAGAGAACGTGTCCGTGGATGGATGGATGCACATGCAACCAAGAGAAGATTAGTTAATTTGCTTGCTGCTTATATTTATTGTAAGATTTCTGAGGAGGACTGAATAAAACCCCTATATTTAGTGCAACACTATTTCGATCCTCGGGTATCCAATGCTTTTGCTTAACGTTGAAGAATGCTCGCTGATGGTGTTTAAGTAATTACAATCAGGGGCTCAAGGCTACAAAACCAACGGATCGAATCGAATTAGATATACTAATGTTTTAAAAATTGATCTGGAGGCTGAATCGTTTTTGTCTTCGGGTCGCAGGTCATCGGTTTGACCGGCTGAGTCAAGTGATTCAGACCGTATTATATCATCATCTATATATATATTTATTTATTTATTTACGAAAATAGCAAGATAAACTACTTACAGAATTTGACTGAACTGGAGCCAAAGTCAACTTACGAAAAAAGTTTAATCGAGTGACGATTTAAACGATTAGACCGACCGAGTCAACTACCAATTGAAAACATTGAGATATACTAGTCGAATTAAATTTGATTCGCAAATATTTGGTTTGAGTCGAATCTTATCCGCTGCATTTATGTCGGATTCGGGATTGCAATTGCATATTAAACAGCGTTAACAAAATATTTTAATAATAATAATAATAATATTTATTATTATTATTATGAGTAATCACTGGTAAATACAACATTCGTACCAATTTTATATTAGATATAAATATTCAGTATATGTACGAATGAGCTATACAACGTCGGGCTTGGACCCACCGGATATGCAATTGTTAATTCAAAGCACCCTTAATGGGATTGGATTCAAATATGGATACCGTTTGTAGTGTTCATTATGAACATGACATGACAACACAAAATTTAAATCGAGTCTTAGGCTCTTAGCGCCCCTTTTAAACCGAGATTTGACATCAATCCAATCAATAAGGTTCCTTTTGCTTCACGGAAACAGGGGTCTGGAATCGGAATTAGAATGGGCCATTTTAATTCCAACTGATTCCTGTTCAAATGGCATTCTCTCATTTAAGATTGTATTTGTTTGAGGTGTAAATTAAAAAGCTATTTGATTAAAGGTGAACAAGCAATCTTTATACAGCGAATCTCACCGCTATGTAGTGAATCTTACGCAATGCTTCAATGCGTACACCGACAAGATTTGTGCTAATACGCCGCTCACCGCTGCTGTAACTCTAATACGTCGGAATTGGGTTTGGACGGAACTCTAATACGTCGCTTGCCGCTCATTGATATTGTCAAATCCTAGTCCGTTTATTGGTGAGGGGGATTACAGGATTTGCGTTGATACGCCACTCGTCACCGTTGAAACTCTAATACACCAGAACTCAGTCTAGACCGAACCTTGATATGCTGCTCGCCGCTCATTGCTCACCGCTCACTGATAATGTTGAATCCTAGTAGTTTATCGGTGAGGAGGATTGTAGGATTTGCGCTGATATGCCGCTTGCCGCTCACCACTCACTGATATGCCGGAGCTGGAGAGGATTGCAGGATTTGCGTTGTCACCGCTGGGAGTTCTGTGTTCTTCGGAGAAGACAGTGAACATGACTGATTGTAGGTAGGAGAAGAAGGAATAGAAGAAGAAGAAGGAGAAGAAGAAAAGAGAGAGAGAGAGAGGGAGAGGTTGAGATGGAGTGGAAAAGGGATCCGGCTGGAGGTGGGGATTTCGTCGTCGCACTGGTTCACTGTCTTTCTTCGATCGAACAAAGACATGCAGCTGTTGGACAGAGGAGATGTGAGGTAATCGTTGGATAGAGGAAGAGGGAGGTAAAGTTTTACATCGATTTTATCGATATAAAGTTTTCACTGATTTTTTATGAATATACTCACAAGAATAAACTTTTACACTAATTGATGAGGTATATTAACACTTCTACCAAATGCTTGCAAAATCGAACCGGGGTGTAAACTTTACCTCGGTTCTCTTTTACACCTCTACCAAACGTAGCCTAAGGGAATGGCCATTCCTAGCCTTTCCCTCGGGAATGAAATTCTATTCATATTGATTTCAATTTCCATTCTCATTCTTGTTTGAACCAAACATACTATGGAAATTGGGAATGGATCATTCCGATTCCGATTTCGACTATGAATCAAATAAACCCTAAGGTTATGTTTATGTTCAGTACAATTGAAACTTATATAAATTAGTGAGAAAAATATGAATGGATTAATCATGTTTAGTGTTAAAGTTTCAAATTTGATGTTTTACCAATAAATAATAAGATATATGCATTTTTTTTATGGAGAAGTACGAACAGGTCTAATGCAGATTTTTGAATCCTACTGCAAATCTATAAACATTCAAAATGTCAAAAACCTCCATTCCCCACTCTATATGCCCACTCATGAATTCGCATCAATTCCGAATTAACACCTACTCCAACTATACTTTGGGCCTAAAAATTCTGACCATGAGCTAAACCGTCATTCTCTTTTTTTATTTAAAATAATTTTTTCTATATGATGTAACAAGACATGTCTCACCAATTTGTATTGATGAGCCGCAAGGATGTCACCAAGAACTAACAATGATGCCAAAAATAACCTCAATTATAATTAAAGACCCAATCAATATGCATTCTTATCATCATTCATGCCTTATCCCAATTAGATGGGATCAACTATATGAATCCATTATCATTCAATTCTACAAAACATAAAAAAGACAAAAGAAGTAATAGCACGTTGTTTATTGTTCGTCAGAGAAAAGGTTAAAACCACCCTTGATTAAACAAATAACAATATTTGACTACTTATTGTTTTGTGATTAGGACCTGTTAATCAGTTTTAGTTTTAATATATATAAGCTTTTAAGTTTTAAACACTAATACAATTAATGTGTTAGCATAGGCTTTTAAGTTTTAAACACTAATACAATTAATGTGTTAGCATAGGCTTTTAAGTTTTAAACATCGCTTTTAATGGAATAACATGAACTAAAATTATAAATTAGAATATGAATTTAATTAATAGGAGTATTATGTGGTTTATTTCTCAAAAAGTTAATATTGCGGGTCACAAACTGTTTGACTCAGATTGTTGAACCACTAACCCGAAAACCAATGATCAAAGCGGTTATGAAAACAGATCAGTTTTTAAAACTTTGCCAAAACTATAATAAAAATTGTGGAGCCACAATCAAAATCTACATTTTAAAATCATTAAATAATACAATTGAACATTCTTTTAAAGATGATCAAATAGTAATGATTTTGTTCAATATTAATTAAAAGAGGAAAATACTTCATAAAAAAAAAGAAATACTTTATAAAACTCTACTAAATGTCAGTAACAATTCATTATTAATTAAAAGGAAGATAATCTGCATACGGCAAGGAATCAGATTCAATAATAAACTCCTCCTGTCAGTGCCAGGTTGCGATGTTGAGAATCGTTTTCATCATTCCTGAATCCTCACAAGCAAAACTACAAGAAAATCGTTTTCATCTCTCTCACTACTCTCTATCAATATATCTGGCATTCCCACAGTGTCTAAATTGTATTCTTCATTTAATGAGTGGAGGAGGTAGTCCCGATTCACGTGTAAGGATGGATGGATGGAGTAAGGAGGACATTAATGGTGAACTGTCAATCCCAATCCAGGATGGAAGCAGCAGCCACCGAGTCCGGCCCCCATCACCACTCGCTTTCTCTGTTAGTTTTCAATTCCATTAAAGTGTATGGATCGATCAGTAGTCGGAATTCGTAAAGGATAGACACGTAGGTACCATTTCGGATTTCGGATTTCGGAGACATTTTTTTGTCCTTATCATCCAGACTCTAAAATAAACCTTGTGGTTTTCTTTTTTCTTTTATAAAAAAAGCAGCACACGTGTGATTGTGTGAATAGACAATGTGGTAAGGTTATCTTACAAAATACAAACAGCTCGACAATTGCCGTTGGACGCTTGCC